ATATTAGTAATAAAGGTTTGAATGAATGATATTCGAGATCTTTATCAAAACAATACATAACATATCTTGTACAAATCAAGGGATGAACCAAGTTCATCTATCAAGTCTTTCAAAGCTTCAAGGGATGCTTACTAGCATCAATATAATACAAGGGATGACATTCCTGACAAAACAAGGGAATAATTGACCCAGAATCAATTAGACAAACCCACCCGTACAAGACCGTCGGTGACAAGGGAGATATCTCAAACAAGGGTACTAGTTGCATTATAGTCCCCTAGCACTAAGGACTTTCCAAGAATGTCATCAAAACAAGATAATACTTGATACAAAACTAGGAATAATCATTCATACTTGAACAAACACTTTTCCAAAACGAAACAAGCAAAGCTTTTATCAAAATATTAGGACATAGCTTAATTAAAAATACCACTCACATAGCTCTTCGGGTGCAGGGATTAAGGCTAGAATCCAAGACCTACAAATGCATGGCAAGGTCCACTAAAACGCATTTCAAGAAGACAAGAAGAGATGCTCAAAGATGGATATGAAATGCATTCTCAAAATAAGCTATCCATGAGTGTAAATGATCCCGACATTTCTTTCAAAACTAAGTTAAGACAAAGCAAAACATGTGCTGGGAGTTAAAACACTGTTTCTCATCTTAGGAAAACATGCTGGGTACCAACCAGGTCTTGGCCGAGGTGTGGTCTCCTAGGCATAGGTGCGAGATCTAGGCAAGAGTGGGTCTCAGCGACCACACTTAGGGAAATGAAGTCTGGAAAATCTGGGTTTCCTCTTGAAGAACATGAATGTCAAAATCATAACTTCTTTATTCAAAATCTGAGATTTCATGAGATGAGTTCAAAAACATGAACCTGGGTACCCGTAATTGAAGATCTTCTTGAAAACAAACACAAAACATGGAACTTGTTATAAACTTTCGGATCAAAACATGGTTTTCCTTCAAGAACACAAGAACATCATTTTCTCTTTCTAAAACCAAACTTTAAATCAATGCATGGCTCATGAATCATGCCTGATCATGCAATGTGATCAAACAAACATAAAGAACAACAAGAGTAGATCAAGAATCTAACCTCAAAACACGGATCTAACGGTTCAAACTCTAAAGATCAAGCTTGGGATCTAACTCTCTCACTCTAAACTTCTCTTCCTCTTCCTAGAGCTTCTCTCTCTACAATGCAAAAAGTATGACACAAATGATATAGGTTCTCAGATAGTACCTGACTTAACCCTCTGCTGGGACACGTGGCAACGCCGGATTGGATCTCCTCAAAAAGGTGACAGAATGACAAGATAAGAGTTATGACAAAGTGTGTATAACAAGTAAGGTGACAAGGGCACTCTAACAAGGCAATGACCTCGGATCAAGACATACGCTTCGGCAAGTAAGGTCTCAATGATCTCGACTACGAAGGATGGCACTTGACCTAGCTGTGCCACACCTCAACCTAGATATGCCACACCTCGGTCTAGGTCATACCAATCCAGGAACAAGATCACTAGGTGCAAGGATCAAGGATGTTAGTTGCCTAGATGATAACATCTCGGCCTAGGTGATGCACACCTCGGCCTAGATGATGACATCTCGGCCAATATGCTAGGGTGAAGGTGGAGATCAACCAAGGTGGTTCCAAGATGGTCCTAGATATAAGAGGTTCAAGGGTGTGACCTAGGCTACGCACACCAAGCAAGGAACAAAGCATACAAGCAATACTCAAGCAAATCACATAAGCACAAAACAAGACAGGGACCTTTACTTTAGGCAAAACAAGTCAAAATCTACAAATGCAAGCTTAACAAAACAAAATCATGCAGATGCGCATGAACATGGCTAAGACGAGGATGAGGGTCATTATAAAGAGTATGATAGCAACCCATTTCATCAAACCCATTTATCATCAACAAATCTATATTTTCTTTCATTTATCAAACAGAAAATCTAACAAAAAAATCGAACATAAAATCGAATAGAAACACAGCTTATTTAACAAACACTACTCAGCAACTTAAATCTATAATCCAACAGCTATGCCAAACAGATTAACCGCTTCTGATTAAAGTCATAATCTATAATCTGTTAAGCTATAATCTATAATCTGTTTTAACAGCTACACCAAACACCACCATAACCCATTTCATCAAATCCATTTATCATCAACAAATCAGAAATCTGAATCATATATATATATAAAACAACAACAAATTTAATTTATATTTTCTTCCATTTATATATATAAAACAGCAAACCCATTTTAAAACAGCAAACATCATTGTCATTTCAAAAATCCCCATTTCATCAAACCCATTTCAAAAATCAACAACAAATCTAACCCAAGAATCATATATATATATATATATATATATATATAACAGCAAGAAATGACAATGATGATGAAATGGACCTCGTCGTTGTCGCAATCTTGGCTTGCCGCCGTCGCCTGCCATCCTTTGCATTTCACCATCGCCATCGCGTCGCTCCGCCATCTCTTTCGTCTCTCAGTTCGTTTCTCTCTTCGTTCGTGTTCATCTCTCCATCTCTCTCTCAGTTTGTCACTCCGTCTCTCAGTCACCTCTAATGTCTCTGTCTCTCTATTAGGGTTGACTGCGTGAAACAAATGATGATGCAAAACAGATGATACAGAGAAGAGAAAGGTGGGGGGAAGCAAAAATTTAGAATTAAAATATAAAATTTAAATTAAAAAAAAAACACTAAACAAAACGACGTCATTTTGGCAACCACCGCAGGAAACCATGGCAGAGGATCTGGACTCGCAAAACAGATGATACAAAGAAGAGAAAAGATGGGGAAACAAAAATTTTGAATTAAATTATAAAATAAATATAATAAAAAATAGTAATAAAAATAAAATAAAATAAAAACTAAACAAAACAAAACGACAACGTTTTGGCGACCACCACATGAACCACCACAGAAAACCATGACAGAGGATCTATGAATACAAATAAGGGCATTACGGTAATTTTCTTTCCAAATTTTATCCTACCAATGTCATCAAGTGTCTTAGCAAAGGATGTGCAACACATGCTGTTATATATAGCAGATTCTGTTAGTTTTGTGTTTTACTCCATATTACAAGGAGGTTATGTATATAGTTTCAAACTAGAAGGGGGTAAAGTGTTTTTAAACTAAACTATAAGGAGGTAAAATGTAATTAATCCTTTTTTTTTTCTTTTTTGTTTTGGCATGTAAGCAATGTTGTCTTGCTTTCACATACTTGATCAAGTCTAGTTCAACTATACTTGTTAACGAATCCATTTTCATTAGATCATTACTTGTTGAATGTTGAGTGTTGAATCCATTTTCATTGAAAGATACTTGTTGAATGCGAGTGTTGTTGTCGTCGAATTCAGTTATCTGCGAATGCTTGTTCAGTTCTTTATTTGGCATGTATTTTAAAACTCTAAGTACTAGATTTTCTTTATCTATGAGTGAAGTTTTAAAAAAATTAATAATAAAATTATGCCATCATTAAGGTAACTACTATCACTCCTATGCCATTACCACATTCAGGCCAGTTCTATGTTTCAGTTTTTCCTCATCTACGGATTTAGTTCTTCAAAACAAAACTAGGCAAACTTCTAAAATTGAACCCTCTATACATAATAAATTGTTACCAATTTTTTTTTATTTACTTATACTGAAATAAAGTCTGCAAGCATATATAATTACTACAAAATAAAAAATTAAAAAAAAAAAACTACTAAAATTTATTTACAAGATTAAAATATTAAAATACAAAGAACTCCAAAAGATAAAAATTCAAAATACTTTCTAAAACTCCCAAACTTTTTTTGAGGATCAATCTCTTTTTCAATGAAGTTTATGAAAATTTATTCAATACATGAAGAGGGAATTGTGCAGATTTAACAACCGCAACGGCAAACAATTGAACCACACACAAAAATAACAAAATAAAACATTGAGCTCAAGTTATTGAATATTTGTTATTTTGTGTGCAGTTCTATAACAACATGAAATTCCTAATAATAAACCAAAATCTTCTACTAGATTAGTTACAAACACTTATTTGACAAACATTTGCCTTAGGTATTTTGTTAGTAATTGGGGAGGTCTAAATACATCTTAAATTTCTCAAACATGCATCCGTAATACTTGTGCTTTTGAAGGAAAAAAACACACATGTACAAATGGGCGTTGAGAGATATTTATGGAATGTATTTAGAAGCACCATTTATGGAGTGCCTTTATTTGCACACCATATTTCATCTCAAGACAAATCATTAATTGATTTGTTTTTTATTACAATATTACTCTTATGTAAAATGACTACAAAGGGCAAAGGGTTATAATGCACACCTTTTGTAATCAAGTTCGAGTCGAACAAATGGTTAATGTTCGAAAGAAACACTCCGGAAAAGTGGCTAAGGTTCGACAGAAATAGTCCGAACAAATTGTTAAGGTTCCAAAGTCCAGAGTCGAACGGTTTGCAAACTGAAATTCTCACCAACATCTTGAGGAGTCTTCACCACTGATTCTGTTCACCGGTGTCTTGAGGAGTCTTCATCACTAGTTTTGCTCACCGATATGTGGGGGTGACAATCAATCAGAGAAAGGAGGGGGAGATGGATCGTGGGTGGAGTGGAGTGTGTGAGTGAGTGAATGAGAGTAAAAATGGACGATTGTGAGTGGGGTGTGTGAATAAGGGTAAAGATGGAAAGTTGTGGTGTGTATTGAGCAAATTGTTTATTTATCAATTTATTAAAGATGTGCCTTGTGTAGTGGTGTATCTTGAGATGAAAGGTAGTGTGCAAATAGAGACACCCCCTTTATGAAGTAGTTTAGTCAAAATGATTAAAATACCCTGGTGCATACAAAAAAAAAAACTTCTTACTTTAAAAAAAATTCACATCACATCATAATATCCTAAATGTAATTCAAATGGAAATTATTTATATTTAACAAGTTTCACTCTCATTTAGACTTCTTATTATTAGAGGGAATTGATAAAGAACTTCATTAATTATAAACAAATTACAAACTCCACAGCATATTAATAACTTCAGCTTTTGAGGCAATACAACATTGTTCTTCACCTCTAGGAGAGTAATAGATTGAACATGTCAAATCATATGTACATCAGGACAGTTAGCTTAGTTGCCTTCCTAAAATGATCGACAACAGATCCAAGGCCCTTCATTATACAATTAGCTTAGCTTTCCTGCTCCAAATTTTTAAAAAAAAAAAAAAAAAAAACCCTACCTAACCCGAAATTCAGGTAAGTGTACGTATATAATCAACAAAACCAGACCAACTGTATTTGCACGTGTTTGTAGAAGAATACCTTGCTGGTTATGGAGCTGCTCCCTACAACTTGCTGGAACACACTGGCTAAAAGAATCACGGGTGACATTGCTCAAGGCCTTTTTCACAAAGCAGCAGCAACACAAGACGGGCAGTGCAGTACTAGTACCACCATGTCAGAAACTCGAAGAGCAAATTAGGGTGGGGGTTCAAAATGTCAACTCCAGACAACCAACCAGCGACAATAAGGGGTAAACTTCCAAAAGAATAGTAGCAATATCAGAAATCATAAAAGGGTCTCCTCCGAGAAAACAAACAGGCGCTGAAATCTGTCCACGATAAGAGGAAGACTGAGTATGCATTTAAAATGAACAACAAATCATTAATTTAAGCAAAAATTGTAATATAACCACAAAAACCCATGTAACCTTGGGAAGCAGAATCTAGCAAAAAAGTTGCCTAATTAAAGTCAGAATAGTTCTTTTCACTACCCAACCATAAATAATTTGGCAACAAACACAAACAGAGAAATCCAAAATAAAAAATTATTTGCCTTAACAAAAAGTTAACATTGTGCCACTTGAATTTTAATGTCAGGCATGATCCATCTTGGGACTGATGCTAACCTATGAAGCACGGACACCTCTCCAGAGGCAGCGTATGGGTGTCGGACACCAACACCGACACCGACACAGACACAAACACGCGTCGGACACGCAGTGGACAAGTGTCCAACAATCTACCTAAGGTGTCCCCATTTTTTTTTTTGGAATTTTTCTAGTCAGACACGCTTGGGACACTCTCTTGGACACATTATGGATACGTTGGAGACAGAGAGGGAGAGAAACCCAAAGCTGTTGAAGATAGACATAGACAGAGAGAGAGAAACGAACATAAGAAATGAAGAAAGAAGAACGAAGAACAGATTTGAAGAAACAAAGAACATACCTAGATCTAGGGCTTCAATTCAACAGGTTCTCTCTCTCTCTCTCTCTCTCTCTCTCTCGTAACGTGTCTCTCTCTGTCTCTCGTAACATGTCCCTATTTTATATATTTATATTTTTGAACAAAAACCTTATTTTCCCCCTCATTTCCTTTTTACTATTTTTTGAGTATTATTATTTGCTTAACATACATAGAATAAATTATTTTTATTTATAGGAAAAATTAATTTGTGAATGATATTTGACATTAAAGTAAATAAATAATATATATTTTTAATTTTACATACAATAAATAAATAGAATTATATATATTGACCGTCTCCCTAGCATGTCGTGTCCCCTGTTTTTTTAAAATTTGTGTGTCCGTGTTGTATCCCATGTCCATGTCCGTGTCCGTGCATCATAGATGCCAACCAAACTATCAAAAGATAAAGATTGAAGCTCATCTAAAGACTAAAAGAAACACACACCAATGCCAAAAAAAATCAAAAATCAAAAATAGAATAAAATCAAAAGTGTAATTGTTATGACTAAATAGTTTATGGAAAGATATGGGTTTATGATTCTGATGACAATGATGACCAACTGTTTAATTTGCTCATATAGGTATTTCAAACCTTAAAGAAAACTGTTACATTGATATAAAAAATAGAATATCATGCAGTGCTCACTAAGTATAGATCTGACAATGACAAAAGATGAATTAGTTCTCTACATGAAGAGCTAGTTCTTATGGACCATCCTTTCCCTTCTTTGGAGCATTATCATTTTGTTGAAATTTACCCAGATTCAAAGTCGTTAAATTGTGGGAAAGTGCTGATAATACAAAAGTTATGGAGGTCATCAATACTGGTATAAAAGTGGTATGCAATGGACGGCATTATTGTGCATGGATGGGGAAAGCCTCTGCGCAGAAGATTTTGCCACGGTAATGTGTGAAAAATGGGGTACGGACAATTTCAGATCCATTCCGTTGGAGATATCATCTGCCGGAGCCAAACTTAGTCCAGTGAAGAAGGATGCAAACATGGATGATGTGGAAGCTAATGATGAGGTGGACCAATGCCAACAGAACATGGTGGAGATCAGAGTGGTAGGACAGCTTGTTGGAATTCGATTTCGACTGTGGCAGAATCATTATGTGGTGTCGGAATTGAGAGGAAGGCTAGATTTCCTACATCTTTGGGAAGTATCAGATTTGCAAAATAAGACTGGGAACACTAGGAAGCCTTAGTGTTTTAGATTGTAATGAGAAATGTTTTGTAAGTTCATGAGGCAGATTGAATTAGTAAATGTTAGGATATCCATTGGGTTATGCCACCTTCGGTGAGAAACCTTCTATAATGTTGGGTATAAGTGGAATAGGAGGAAGTAAGCTTGGAGGATAGTTCCATTGTGCATTGTACAGTGTTTATGGAGAGAGAGAGGAATCGGTGCATTTTTTAGGGCACAGAATTAGTAGCATGCGAGCCACATCCTGATGTCTATTGAAAGCCAACAAAACATAGCATCTAATCACAAGCTAGAGAGAGAGAGAGAGAGGAATCGGTGCATTTTTTAGGGCACGGAATTAGCATGTGAGCCACATCCTGATGTCTATTGAAAGCCAACAAAACATAGCATCTAATCACAAGCTTAAAAGCTTGTTAGTTTTTTGATCGGCTTAAAAGTTTGTTAGTTAAAAAACAAACTTATTGCTTTATATGGAAAGAATCATTTCTTTTATATAAAATAAATATGAAAGAAGTTCTATTGAATGAGATAAGCAAAACAAACAATAATAGAAATTAAAAACATGAACGAAAAATCTGTATGTAACTCATAGAAGTAGTTACAACAGTTGAATATAACTAAAACTTGTTTAGCTTGGTAGAAATTTGACTTACCACTGCCACATCCCAAATAAACTTTCAAAAAATCCTGAGCACTAATTGGCAGCAAGGTCCTTTCCCTAACAAGTGATAAACTTTCACTTCATTAACCCCATTGCAATAGGAAACTAGAGTAAGATCACTCCAATTTTAAATCCAGCCAGCTGCCACAAGAATTTCATAATTGTGAGTTGGACAGCAATACAGGGAAAAGTATCAGGTGTTAATATTAAGTTAACCTGGTTTTACAAAACTAAACCTAAGTTTAAAACCTAGATTTTCTTCCATAGTTAAAAGGTTTGAAGAACAAAAAAGCTATTCACCTCATAAAAAGATTGAAAAGGTTTGGATGAGAAAAACAAAACTCCAATCCCTTCCTGATAGTAACTCTGCACTACGCCTACATGTCAACTTCACAGCAAATTTTGCATTATAAGACTGACAATGACCATGTACGCTCCAAAAGCCACCCAAGGACAGCCCATTTGCACAACCAGCATCAACCAAAAGTTGTGAACATGCCATTCTCCCATTTTTATTTTTATTTTTGACAAATACATGTCATTCTCCCATTAATCTGAACTCTGTGAATTTCGTGTTTCTTTGGTTCTAATTCTTCTCAGCCAAGAAACCACAAAATATCATCTTTTCCTGTTTCAAGGCATAAATACAACACCAACAAGGATCAACTAGCACTTAGATTTTCTCAAGTTTGAACATTAGGCACAGCATAATCACCTATGCTACTAATCAGACCCTTTTTCACCATTTCGTTTTGCAACTCAAGAGCCTCATCAACATTGCCTAGATCATAATACTTCCTCACCAGACAACCATAAACAACCTCATCAGGAACGACACCTTTCTCAATCATCTCACTAAGTAAATTCCTTGCTTGTTGCACTTGACCCAATTTGGAAATCCCCAAAATCAAAGAAGTGTAAGCAAGAAGATCAAGCTCCACACCAGTTTCTTCCATTCTCTTTTGCAAATCCAAGGCTTCTTGGATATTCCCATGCTTTAAGTTCCCATCAATCAATGATGTATAAGTAGTTTTATCTGGAAGCATACCCTTGTCCAGCATTTCATCAAACAGCTCTCTGGCAGTTTCCATGCAATTATTTTTACAAAGACCATCAATTAGGGCTGTATAAACCACAACATTTGGTTGCAAACAAATGTCCCGCATCCTATGGAAATGATCAATAGCCTCCTGAACTGATCCCAATTTGCACAAACCATCAATTAATACAGAATATGTAACAACTGTAGGGGCAATACCTAATTCCTGCATTTCCTGTAGCAGATTTAATGCCTCTGTGGCTTTTCCTGCCATAAAATAGGCATCCATAAGTGTTGTGTATATAACATGATTTGCTTCTATACCGCATGCCTTCATTTCGTAAAATAAAGCTTTACCCTCATCGACCTTTCCTTGTTTGCAGAGACCCCAGATGATAGTTCCATACATCAACAAATCTGGTTCGATGCTCTTTCCTTTCATTTCTTTCAAGATATCAATGGCATTCTCCATCTGTTTTGCCTTCATATACCCATGAACAAGGACAGTATAGAGTTGCTGGTTTGGAGCTACCTTGGCTTTCAGCATTGCCCTAAAAACTTCTCCAGCTTCCTTCATCCTCCCTTCTTCACATAGACCATCAAGTAAAGCTGTATACGTAACAATGTTCAGCTCGACACCTGCCTGTAACATCTCTTTGACAAGCTTTAAAGCATCACCAAGATTACCCGCTTTACAATTTGCATCTATCAGAGAAGTATATGTGAATTCATTTGGCATAAGACCAACTCGTATCATATCCACAAAAAACTTGATTGCCTCCTGCATCATCCCTTCCTTGCAAAAAGCATCAATGAAGGTGCTGTAAGTCACAACATTTGGTTTCAAACCACTTTCCTTCATCTCATGGAGAAACTCAAATGCCTCTCGCATTCTTTCATATTTACAGAAACAATTGATCAAAGCATTGTATGTTATCACATCAGGGACATAACCTGCAGTCTTCATTTCTTCAAAAATACTAATAGAGGCATCTAATTGTCCAAGCTTTCCATGCCCATCAATAAGAGAATTATAAGTAACAATGTCTGGTGCAACACCCATGTCCTTCATTTGTTCAAACAAGCTTCTTGCAGTTTTCAAATCCCCTTCTTTACACATATAATCTATCATTATATTAAATGTAAACACAGATGCCATTACTCCAGAGACAACAATATCATTAAAAAACTTCCTCGACAATTCACCTTTCCCCGTCTTCGAAAGCCTCTGCAAAAGATAATTACAAGAACGCACTTTCGGAAAAACTCTAAATCTCTTCATCCTCAAAAAGCACTCACTCGCTTCCTCCAGCATTCCCAACTCAACCAACACACTAAACAACGCATCGAATACTCCATAACCCGGAACACAAACATTCCTTGTCGACCACAATACATCAAATACATCACAAACCAGCAAAAACCGAGTCGAAGTAATTAAATCCTTAAGAATATCTTGAGCATCACTATACATTCTTGAACAAAACAGTATGTGAACAAGTATACAATACGACTCAGTCGTATGGCGAAACCCAATTCTCCTTTCAGCCCATTTAAACAGCTTCAAAGCTAATCTTGGGTCTCCCTTCAATTCCACCAAAATTCTAGAAACCCAGATGGGAGCTAAAGCAGAATTAAACAAACTAACAATCCTACAATCATCCCACTTGTCTTCTCTCACAATTTTACATAAAAATTGTCCATCAAAAACTTGACCAAAACTATCGAAACATGGTTTAGACCCAAATGAGCATTGAAAAAAACAGAAAAAATTACTGACCCGGATCAAGAAAGATTGTGAAACATTGAAAGAAAGATTAGGACTTGGAGCAGATGACAAGAAGAGGGTTAGGCGATGAGAGCTTCTGCGTCCGATGCCAAAAAGGCCGCGAACAAAAATTAACATCCTCTGAGCAAAGAACCATATAGTGGTTGATTCAAGAGTTGATTCCATTTTCAATGTAAACACAAACATTCATGGTTCTCTGCATTGACGATACATATAGATATACAATATGGGTGTGTGTGTGTATAGATTGAAAAATGGAATTTTGGGAAGGCGGAGAAGGGGTTGGTTAGGGTTTTAGGAAGGGGATTGAGAAGAGAAGAGCTGCAAAGGTTTTGATTCAGTGAATACTCGGTTCCAATAAAACCATATTACCAAATACGAAGCAACACGGGATGTAATAATAGCCGGTCCGGGTCATCCGGATTCGGGTCTAGACTCGGACCAGTCCGAACGGGTCTCGCGGGTCAGGTCGGATTGGGCCCGCTCATGGTCAAAAAGTAAGGCACGGCCCAAGTTCAAACCCATTCATAACACGGGGCCGTAGGCCGGCCCTAATCGGGCCTTTTTTATTATTTTTATATTAGGAATAAAAAAATAACAAAAATTATACTAGAGTATTTTAGTTAACATTATTGAGATTTTTTATTTGGTTATGTTTCATGATGATATTTAAATTTAATTATGTATGACTAATTTTTTTTTTAATTATGAACTTGTAACTAAAAAAAAATGCAATTATATATATATTTTTTCTTTCAAAATGAATAATTTTACATATATGAAAATGAAACTTTTAATATTATAATATTAAATTATTTATATAACATTTATTGAATGAATAATTTTTATTTCAAAATGAAAAAAAAAATATTACAAAAATTGATATTATTAAATAAAATAGGTATAGATTATTGATGATGGTAGAGCAATTGCATCACTATAGATCAAGTACATCCCAAATAGATTGGCACCTACTAGCCTACTAATCATTTACATTATACTCCGCCTCAATAATTTTTTTTTAAAAAAAACGAAATGAAATGAAATGAAATAGTAAAAAATAAATTGTTGATCAATCATCGAAGGAGACAGACATTTCAGTCGTGTTGCCCGAAGATATGTCATCCAGATCATTTTGAATTCGCTCAGTTTCACTATAATTTTGTCTTCATGTAAGTGCATACATATAATCTCTGGATATCATCAGTGCCTCAATCATTTTGGGTGAAATCCTGCCCCGGTAATTGCTCAGCACCCGTCCACCTGCACTAAAAGTTGTTTCCAAAGCAACTATAGAAATAGGAACGATTAGTATATCACGGGTCATCTGTGAAACCACAGGCCACATAGTTTCATTTGTTTCAACCATTTCAAAATGTCAAAATCATCGAAATCATCCACTGGCAGGCTTTCCAAATAATATTGTAGTTCAAAACTACTTACACTTGTATGTTGAGATATTCTTCTACTTTTTGTTGCTAAAAAAACACTTAATCTCCCACTTCGAGATGAGACTGCCAGTGTAATGTGTGTAGGTGTAATTACAGATGTAGTTGTCCTGTATTCTTCAAATTATCTATTGCATGTTTGCATAATAAGGGCAAACTGTATTTGATCAACGAAAAGACCCTCTAAAAATTCTTGTAAACCAATTTCTTTACACTTAGGATTAATTATTATGGCTAAACCTAATAGATGACGTAAAAGATCAAAATATTTATCAAATTTTGCTTTCATTGAAGTAACAATGGTTACATACTATTCATTACCCATATATTTTTACGAAAATTTTAATTATTTCTGCTACCATATGTAAAGTATGAATATATATATATATATAAATAATTTTGTTGAAATATCGAAAACTTTTAAAAAAATCTTTATATAAGGCTAATTGGCACTAATTAAGTTCTGTGGGAGTCAATACTCCTCCTATTGATATTGTTGCAAAAAATAAATCTATTACTCTTCTTTATTTACAAGCTATTTTTAATATATATGTTAAATTTCACCTACTATCTACCTCTAAAATTAATTTTCTAAATGGCATATTTTCTCATTGACAAATTTTTCTATATTCCAAAATTTGACTACTAGAAGACATAATAATAACAACTGCATTTTTTATTACAAGTACAGAAGTCTCGTATACATGCATAGCTTCTTTAACAATAAAATTTAAAATATGGGCACAACAACAAACATGAAATAAATCACCATCAACAAATAATTATAAAGTTGATTTTAAATGGGTTACAGTTTGATTATAATATGCTGCATTATGTAAACTAATCGTAAATATTTTATTTTGTAAAACTCATTCATATAATACATTTCTTATTTCTACACCAAGCAAATAACCACTATATAGAAGTTCAACTAATTTCAATGAAATAATTTTTTCATTTCATTTTCAATCATTATCAATAAAATGTGGAGTGATACATTGACAAAACTATTATTTGACCACAAATCAGATTTTAAACAATCTATTCCATTCAAATTTTTAAAGATGTCAAATAATTCACTTTTAACATTCTCAAATTTTAACCCAGGGTTGAGTAGCAACTTGGTAAGGGCCTGGGGTTTAAGCCCCTAGGTCTTGGGTTCAACTCCCCTCTGGGCCAATCTCCTGGGCGTAGCACAGTTGGTTAGGAGGTTGACCTCAAGGATGCCTTATCAGCTACTTGGTGTGGGTTTAATTCTCCCCCGCTGTGCGAGTCCTGACTTAAGCGGAGCTTGCCTTGGGAGGTCGGGACAAGCTTCCAGGTTATAGTCTCTTACTCGGAACAGACAACAGGACACCCTGGTGATCTCCTCAAGGGGCACTGCCTTGAACCTACGGGAGAGTGGGAGGATTTTCCTGTAAAAAAAAAAAAAAAAAAAAAAAAAAAAAATTCTCAAATTTCTTTAAAATCCTATTTCTAGTAGTATTTCTTGAAAAACTTTGATATTGTTGTGCAAAACTTTCGTGAATCATTTTGGTAAAATCGAGACATTCACTAGTAGTAAAAGGTTATTCTTTTTTAATAATATAATCAATTATAGAATTTTGTGCACGTATATGATCATATGAAAATGTTTACAAATTATCAGTTGATAAATCCCCTAATTACATTTGGTTTCGAATATCAGGCTGTTGACTTTATAAATATTTGTTAACATGCCTTTTTAGATGACTAGTACCATATGCAAATGCAGCACTCAGTAAATGTGCACAATATTTACATTTTGCTTTAAATGTAAATGTACTATCAGGATTATTTATAGATATTTTTTCAAAATGTTCTCAAACATTACTACTTCTGCTCTTAGATGATGATCCATCTGTTGGAAGAGGGATATTAGAAGGAGAATCAATAGATTCATGTTGTGTAGTATATTATCAACATCGACATAAACATTGGGAATATTAGAATCCATAGTAATGTAAGTAAAACAATATATAAGAATTAACAATTAATTTAAATAATGTGCAAATACAATCAGTAAAAAATAATAATTAATATATGTGCACAAATAATTAATGAAAAAAATAAGTAGCTAATAAATTTAATTAAACTAATTAATAAATTAGCTTTTTTTAATAAAAGATTATTGTTGCACAAGTGCAATTGTCACTTAGGGATGACACTTCAAAATTAATTGAGAGTTGAGAGAGATTGAGAGTTTAAGAGAGATTGAGAGAGTTTAAGAGAGAGAAAGAGAGAAAGAGAGAGAGAGAGAGAGAGTGAGAGAGAGAGAGAGAATTATTTGTGAGATTTATTTTGAAAAATGAAGAATATTTATAGTAGTTTTAAAGAGTGAAATACATTTATAAAAATATATATATATATATATATACATACATATTTCATTTGAATTTTTTTATGATTGTTTGTCTCTACTAATTTATGATCGTTTGATTTTTTTTTTTTTTTTTCATTCAATGAATAAAGAAGAGTGTGAGTTGAGTGATTGATGACATGCAATAGACCAGAGTGGGCTAGGTTAGTAGGGGTGGGGTATCGCTGTTGTCACGATCCAAACCCGCCCATATGGGTTTAGCACCGTAACCGGCCAGTAATCCGAGATTACCGAAAGCCTCTTTAACAGTAATACAATAATACAGAGTACAGGGGCTGATAGAAGCCAAAACAGTAATTAAAAGATGTCCAATGAGCTATGACAGTCTGTATGCAAAAAGACTTTTCATATATATATATACAATCAGTACCAAAACAGTATGTACAATATATACAATCATTCAGGACAGGGACTTAATCCCTATTAGAACAGTACAGTACAACACCATTCAGTTTATTCAGTAATTACAAAACAGATACAAAAATGGGAAAACTAAAACACCCTAAAAGCCCTAGCTTGAAGGACTCGGAACGTCTCAGTGAGGCACAGTGGTTGGCTCAACAAAACTGGAGTTTACCTTGACGTTTCTAGCAACGGTCCGGTGCCTGTACACCTACATATATATATGAGTAGTGAGCTAAAGCCCAGTGAATAACATATGCGTAAAGAGGTTAAGAATGAATGTCCTTTCAGTATTGAAAACAGTCATTTAAACAGTATATCAGTCATTCAGTTTATGGCTCATAATTCATGCCATAACAATCATTCAGAAACTATAATAGTCATATGTGGTATATCAAATAGCAAAGCAGTACAGTAGGTCTTAACAGACCGAGCAGTCAATGATGGCCATCAGTAATGGTTCCAAACGTGGGAACCGACAGAGATCTCTGTAACAGTAGCAGTAACAGTATATTGCTATGGATGCCACGAATACAGTTCACAAATAGGACAAACATTCATTCAGTAAACAGTGTCATTTCATAAAGCAGTACAGTCATTTGTTCAGAAAAATAATCTCAATTGAACACATCTTTACAACATTGTTACTCACAGAGTTCTGGGCTACAGATAAGCTAGTATGCGTCCTCGGATGCCAACTCTACACAGTTACAGAGTGAACACACACTAAGCTACACAGTTGGGAAAAATAATAACTTAATCCTTAATTTGCCTCGGTATGGTTCTACATGAATATCCTCATTAAGATGCCTTAAACTAGGCCTAAGAATGCCTAGAATGGAATGAGGATGCAAAAATGCACTTTAAAAATATTTTCAGAATTTTCAGAAAACAGAGGTCCCGCTCGAGCGTGGGTTTCCCCGCTCGAGCGGACATACAAACAAAGTCTCCGCTCGAGCTTAAACTTTCCCGCTCGAGCGGACTGCAAAAGTACTGGATGTGTGAAAATCACGCTCGATGGGCGCCCGACACCCGCTCGAGCGTGTGACACAAGCCCTCGCTCGAGCGTGCAAAACCCCGCTCGAGTGGGCTGTAAACACAACA